ACTCCTTCACCTGGCTGGCCGGTACAGAAAGTGGGGATTCCTCAGAGGTGACGTACACTGCCTACAGTGCTGTCAACCTACAGCGGGGCAGTGATCCTGTCATTGTGACCTCCCTTAGGAGGCTGGTGGGTGAAAAGCTGCAGGAAAGCAGCAAACCTGCCGTAAATGCAATGTGAAGTTAGAAAATGTGCAGCTGGAATAGCAGAATTAGGGCATATGGAAAAAAAGGAAGGCGATCACTTTGAATCTGCCTATGAGGTTAAGGCCCAGTCTCTCTGGCCTCGGGAGGGCTGGAGCTAATGCCCTCTAAATTCTTGCTCCCAAGTACCGAGGGACTGCTCAAGTCTAATAAGATGTGTTGGAGTTTTCTCTGAAAATCCTGAACTTTACCCTTTTACTAAAGCCTGCAGAAAGAAAGGAAACTAAGTGTATTCATTAGCCACGTGAGAGATCAGAGCGGCTGGCCCTGTTTCATGAGCTGTAATTAGCACATGAGCTGTCTGCCCCTTATAAAATCTGAGCCTGAGATGCCGACAAGTCCCTAAAAACAGTGAGGACAGGAGGCAGGGCCTGGCTGCCTGCTCAGCACTGCTTGGCAGGGCTTATCAGGCAGCTTTTGATTCTGTGTGCTGGGAGCTAACCCTGGCCTGACTCAGGGCATGCCTCATGGGGAGGTTATCAGCTGGTGTATAAATGCTGCTTTCTTCAAAGCCTGATACCAAGACCATACAGTACGCAAGAGGCCCTCTGCGGGGCCACTCCAAAGCCATGTTGTCTCAGTGGCCAGACCAGCTTCCTGGGTGTGACAGCACTGGGTTTGCCTGATGCTGGTGTGCTGCCTTGCAAATTGCCCACCTCAACTCAAAATCACAGAGAGCTGTGGCATGACTCAAAACAATGCACTGAATCTTCCTTTCTGGCATCTGATGTACTTCTGATGACTGTAAGCTACTAATGCATCTGTAAGAAATTACTGTAAGATAAGAGATAATTTTGAACTCAGCATAACTGATACACTGAAATAGCATCTTGCATTGTGCCAGGTGTGAATTTCATGGCTTTGTTTCCTTCCTAGATCTTGCTTCTTCCTGTGTGGCATGGGAGGGCCCACCATTGGGCTGGCCAAGTAGCCATTCCCAGTGGTACAGTCAGCAGCGCAGCAATGTATGGGAGCCAGGGACAGGTAATACCAAACAGACTCCTGCTCCTTTTCCTCCCCTTCAAAGGCCTGAAGTATCCATAACAAGCCAGGTGGCATTCAGAAACCCTTCACCTGTGAAATGCTCTCCTTTAGCTTGTCAGAGACCAGCGCCCTGCTGCAAGTCAGGCCCTTTGCCAGACTGCCTTTGGCACTCAGTCCTGCTGGCTTTAAATTCCTTGCAAAGCATTCTCACCAATTCCAACAAGCGTTTGAGAGCACCAGCATTTTGTTACACAAGACAGCATAGGTTCAGCAGAAAGCAATCCAAACTTTCTCCCAACCTCCCTTCAATTCGTAATACCCCCTGGCCCAAATCAGCATCCTGTGGAAAGTCACCTCAAGAAGCCTCATGCTTTCACTTCTCGCAAGGAAACTTCAGTACCAGCTCAGGCAGGACTCCCCTCTTCAGCCTTGCCCTACCTTTCTTCCAAAGATACAGGGGACAGCTTGCTTTCCAGAGAAAGCTGAGATCTATCTCTAGTCCTAATTCAAGACTGGTGATGGACATGTACTTGATCTGCCACAGTGCTTTGGGTATTTGCATCTCTGAACTTATCCTTCTGCTCTTTCCTGTGAATCAGCTCAAACTCTCGGGGATCAGAGAGCTCTTCAACAATTTCACAGCACAGAAGACAAGACTGGGCCTTGCTGAGAAGCACTACGTTGCAGAAGCCCAACAGGAAAGAGAATGCTATTAACAGCAGATGGTATCTGCTTCCCACCAGCTTCTAAAGACCAACTCGCAGAGGGTTTGGGATTTAAATAGCTGTGAGGCACATTCTGTTTTATCTGCTGTTCTCCCTCAACCATGAGCAGAGGCAATCTGCCCTCTCACTTGCTCTCTCTTGCCAGCCTCAATTTTCCTGGTTATCACTCTTAACCCATATCCCAAAGATAAAAAACTCTCCTCCATCTCCGTATTACAATTTTACTTCTCTCCCTTGCCTTCTGCCCTCATTCACAGAAAAAAACTCTTTCCTTTTCAGTACTGCTATAATTACGAGCTATTCCAGACTTCAGGGTTCAGGATAGAGCACTGTTCATTTCCTCTCTATTCTCTCACTCTGCCTCGTTACTATCAGAGCATCCTTGAAAGCAGGTTTTCCACTCTGATGTTTCTTTTAGCTCCTAGGTAGAAGCCAAGTGAATTGCCCTTTCATTGGTAGAACCCAAACTACAATGCCTTAGCACTCTTCAGAAATTTCTCCATTGGTTAGAAGTACTTCGTTTTTTTAAAGGCTGCATTCATCTTACTTAGGAAAAGAGATCACAGTCCAAAACCAGGACAAAGGGAAATTCTGTGATGAAATCTCCGGATTGGGAATAAAAAGGTGTAAACCTACTCCTCTGCAACTGATACTTTTTGTAAGAAATCACTGAGATTATCCGAGTGTGTTTCCTTCTCAGCAAAACAAGTGGGACTTGCTAGATTAACATTAATGAAGGAATTTGAGAACATCAATCTGCATCAGAGTACTTCCTTTTCATTCCATAGCCTTCATCTAAAGCTGTTTTATACTTTATAAGATGTATCAGGCATACATCACTCTACCCAAGTAATTTACAAAAATGCAATATCAGCTTTCTGCAGACAGCCCGAAGCAGCAGCACCATGCAGGTTTGGTGATCAGGTTCATGGGCTCAGTGTGCAGCTGCCACGGACCTACCAAACAACTTCAGGTAAGTCTTGTTCGCGTCTCAAATTAAAAAGGAAAGATAGCATTTATCTATGTCCCCGGGACGTTGTCAGGCAATGTTCAAAAGGAGAAAACGCTCGTATCTACAGCTGACAGCCCTTTTTAAGTCCTCCACACTTCAGTTCCTTTCTCATATACTGCAAATCCTCTACCCCTTTGGATTCCAATAACCTCAGCCAATGCCAATCATTAAGATTTTTCTGCTGTCACATATCTAGTACTATGGACTCTAAGCTCCTGTTTGACAACACTCTTGAAACACTTTCCTCCTCTCTTTGTTGTTGGTTTATTGCTTGAAACTCCCTTCTTTAAGAGAAGTAAAGCCCAGCAAAGAAACCACCTACATCTGACTGCTCAGATAAACTGCTCAGAAGACCCAGAGGGCACAAAATACTCTGTAACACCTAAAGATGACTTCAATTTACCTGGACCCAGACACAACAATGTATCTGATACTCCCCTAGAATAATCAAAAAGGGCAGGAGACTGCATCTCCTGAGAAGCACGATGAAACACGTGATTGCCATCTGGGAAGGCATCAAATATCACGTAGAGCTGTTCTTTATTGAAAACCTTCCCTTGTTCGGGAAGGTTAAAGTCAACCTTCCCTCAGCTTGATATAGCTGCATCTCACCAATCCCACCCAATACTCGAGTTTCACATCAGTGCCCACCGTTCCTTTGGACACTGATGTGTGCATTTAAAGAAGTGCAGCAGCTTGCTCCTTTCCCACCTCACTCACAGCATGCTGTTCACCCCTGCAAGCACACTGAACCTTCAGAGAAGAACAGCACAAAGATTTGCACAAGCTACTGAAAGCAAGACTGAGCAACTGCATAAACAAGAAATGGCCAAATTGCACAAGACAGAAACATCAAGCAGGAAACATCAACCACATTTCTTCAAGTGCAACCTGAAGGCATTTAGATGGTACAACATGAGAACAAAAGAATCTTTATTCCAAGTACTTTAAGAACTGCATCTCTGCTTTGAGACCAGTGTAGCTGCTCATGGCCTTATTCTTTCTCTTTGCTCCACTTTCTTGGGCTGTTTTCTTCTGTGCTCAGCAATCTGTCTTGAGCACAGGGACTAAAACGCTTAATGGCTGCAAGCCTGAAAGGTCACCAAATAGATGTCACACTGATACCACTGCTAGAGCTGGGGATCTACCGTGTGATCAGGCCTGTGGTGCAGGGCAGAGCCAACAGGCCCCGTCTGTGCAGGGAAGCCCAGGGCAGACAGCCACCCGCGGGGTGCTGCTGGGTGAGGATCCCACTAGACAAGTCACCGGACGGCAGGTCTCGGCCAGTCCGAAGTTCCCACCCCTGGGCAGCCCCAGCTCTGTGCCAGCTGCCCCCCATGGCTCTGCCTCTTCAGGTAGTAAAAGGTCCCTTCCCGCCCAGAGCGCTGATAGACCGCTGCGGCTGGAGCTCAGCCAATCAGCAGCCCCTGCAGGGTGGGTTCCCCGCGAAGCCCCTCAAGAGGTGCAGGCGGGAATGGCCCCGAGCCAATCACGGACCTCAACGCCGCCAGGGGGCGTGGTTCGGACCACCGCTCCTCGGCTCCTTTAAGTGAGGAAACTTCGCCTCGCCACCTCAAGACCCCTCCACGGCCGGATTGGCTGGCGGGGCCGCCGACGGCGCCGCCGCGGGCTGCGCGTTCTCTATTGGTCGAAAACGGCCGTCAGTCACAGCGGAGCTCCCCTCTCATAGGCCGCATCCCACCACATCCCACCGCGTGGGCGGGCCCCGCCGCTTCTCGGAGGAAAGGGGTCCTGCGGGAGGGCGGGCGGCCGGGCACGGAGGCAGGCGCCCACGGGGGGCGCGCGGGAGAAAGGGGACGGGGGCGCGCGCGGGGACGGCGCGAGGGCGGGGGACTCACCGATACGCTGCCCCACGGGGGAGCTGAAGGGATTCCCCAGCAGAAAGTCCATCGCGCCGCGATCAGCTGACTGTGCCGCCGCCGCTCACGTGACCGCGCGCCGGGCCGGGCCGGGGCGGGCCTCGCCGTGACGACAGCGGCCTCCGCCCGGCGCCACCGCGGGGCTGAAGGACGGGGCCGGTAGTAACGTGCGCCGCAAATGAATGACAGCACTCCAAGCGTTAAAAAAGAAATTATATTGTAAGGACAGTACAAAAAGGTTGGTGTTATAAGGGCGTCTGGATCAAACGGCAAGGAAATAACAAAAATATAAAAACTGCTAAGTCTTGCCAAAGTTTTCCCTCTAGTACCAAATACCACAAGATACAGATTATACAAAGTGTACAAATTTTAAATACAAATACAATACAGCGGGGTTGGGTGCAGTTTATCGCTCTCCAGGAGGTTTCCATTGTAGAGAAGACAAAGCTGAAGAGGATCCCTCTGTCCCTTTGCATTAAAATGCGTCTGCCTGGGTCTGAGGCTCAGGTCAAGAACACAGATGTGAGAGTCAGAGCACCTGGCAATGAGGCTGGAGGTGCCGGAGGAAAACTCAGCTTCACAAGCCAGTCCATTTCTGTAAATGCTCACCGTTTTCCCCACATGCTGCCAATGCGTAGTGCTGCACACACAGCTGATTCCTGCAGGAAGTGCGGTGAGGAGAACCTGATCCCACTGCTTGTGGAGGGAGGGATTTCTGCTTTTAAATTATGTATATATACATATATATATGTACACAGTAATGTACAGGATAAATTAAAATCTGTTAGAGATATCGGTAAAAGTTAAATACATATGATATGAACACCACGTAAACACACATATAGACACACAAAAGCCTATATGAAAATCAGGTGCTTTCCTACAGCTCTTCTAGAGGGGCGGAAAGTCAAACACTGAGCATGTGGCAGGAAAGAAGAGGGACCAGTCCTGTCAACACACACGTGCCTTGGTCAGCTGTAACTGCTTCTAACTGGCAATCAGCCACTGTCCCACAGCAGCACCATGGCTCTTTCAACGCTGCTGGTGAAAGAGATGGGGGTCAGCAGTCTCAGAAATCTCAGAAATCAAGATTGTCTGTTCATATACTGAGTGTAAGATGGGCAGAAGCGATCCAATTGTTTTTCCATTTGCTATCGCTCTCCATCAAAGCAGGCTGACCACACCCTGGAAAAATCAGCAGGAAGTTCATTCTCTGAAGCCAAGAAAGTCTGTTGATACATCAACACTAGGGATGACTTTGGTGCAAGTCCACAAGAAAAGATTAAATTGTTATCTTCAACTTCATTTCAAATGGCAGCTACCAGACCGGTGAGCTGACACTGACAACTTTCAGCTATTTACTGACCAAAGAGGGGGCTCAGAAGTGATCAAGAGGCAAAGCTCTCTGTATACTTGCTCAGCTATCCAGCTTTCCCCTCAAGCAGATTTTAAACTCAAAAACAGAAATGGGGCTGGTGATGAGCTCAGTTCTATTCCTTGATCCAAAATATTCTACCATCTCTGCCGGCTCACAGAATACTCTTAAAGGGTCTAACCAAACCATCCAACCCCCTGCTTCTGAAGTAAGTTCAGCTAGAGAAAGCTCCATCTTCAAGGATGAAGATTCAACAACCTCCCTGGTCTACCTGTTTCAATGACTGCTCTCACGGTTACATGTTTTTCCTTACATCCAAAAGTACATTCTCTGGCTGCTTCCCCCATTAAAGGATCTGTATTTAAGGCTAGTATCTCAAAATCTTTCTGAATTCTTTTTACAAATACTTCCATATCAGATCACATTTTATCCACCAAGAGAATATGGTTCTCTCAGCTTCACAACTTTTCATAATATACTATCCTATGCATATAATATACATATATAAAACTTTAAAAATACTACACATGGAGCCCCGAGGGAGTGCCAGTGTAACACAAATGTACACAGGTCAGTTACACAGAAGTTGAGTAAATCCCAGGATCCTTTCCCATCAAAGTCCAGGCATGATGTAAGCGATGTTGTCTAGTGTGTTTGACTGGGAAAAAAAAAAAAACACAACACTTTAATGTCCGGCAGTGACTCAAAATCCCCCAAAATGACACAGATGAGGGTACTAAGCACATTTATTTGTCTTACAAGTCACCATATCAAGAGACAATCAAAGTGATAAGTCATCACTAGTCTACGACTACCTTATTACTGGCTTACTGTCACATATTTGGAAACTTAGAACTAAGCACAAAGGTAGCCTTAGTACTTGGAAGTACTTAGAAACAAAATGCTTGAGGCTTTCCTCAAGTGACTTCTTCCTAAAGAACCTTACGCTCTGCCTTTCAAGTTGAAACAAACCACACTGGCTACATCACATCAACCACATGGGAGATGTTCTGAAGTACTTAAACTTCAAAGTTGTATAATGTGAAAAAAACACAAGAAAAAACAAGCAAAAAAACCCCACTAAAAATCCCTGCCATTATACTCACAAGTCCTTTAAGACATTCTGTAGTGTATAAGAGAAAAAACACCTACTAGCAGGGTGTCAGAAGGGAAAAAAAAGTGTCCCTCCTGTCTTCTCTGCAAATTTAATAGAATTCTGAGATTGAGTCCTTTTTTTTAAAACAACACCAATCACTATATTATCTGTATGTTCTTCAAATGTAGTATTTCAGTAACCTCAGATCTATGGTTTGGTGGCTGAAGGCCTTAAGAACAATTGCCTTTTAATTGCTGAAGACAGAGAACTGGATCTGCACCAAGGGTGATTCTAAAATTCAACAATGCCACCTACTGACCGAAAAGATAAACTGCATACTATGTGCAATACGACCATAGACAATTTTATTCCTCTTAAGATAGCACACTCTTTACACACCTGACTGTAAAAATCAGAATAATTTCTTTCTTATCAAGTTCGAATACCAGCTTTCAGAAGCAACAGGTCAGTGCCTTAATCTACGTGCAGCATCATTGCCCTTTGTAACAATAAACTGATCAGGTTTCCAAGATATGAGCCATTAGTCACATGGAAAAGGGGTGTAACGTTCTAAATTAACTTGGCTAGCAAGGAGAAAAGAATTGGATGTTTTTCCATGGCTTATGATGGGAACACCCCATTGACTCAGCTTCTGTATAGACAGCCAGTTTGTAGGAGCTCACAGCCTAAGCTCTCAGATTTGTTCTTGTTAACAGTTTCACAAAATGAATCACTGATTGGGCTGTCCTGTCAGAACACACTAATTCACGTCCCATTTTGTTATTCTCTTGTCCAGATCCCAGATATTATTTCAGTCTCTCGGTTTTTGTAGACTACAAACTTATTTTTCATTTTTGCTTTACTTTATCACTTATTCATGCCTCCTGCTGGAGGTACAACTTCTAATTCAGTTTATAGTGCTGCCATCTTCATCTATGTCCACATTTTGCTACAGTGAGGTCACAAGCTGTTGCTAAATCAGGGCTCAGTTGCAACTGTAATTTAATATGGAAAAGAACCTGTAACTACCCAGTTCTTTCAAACAGAAACTATTTTCCTTTCCTTGGATAAGGAAACAACTACATGTGAAAGGCCCTACTCAGTCACACTAGGAATCTTAAAGGAGATCATGTTATTTTCTACGTTGCCAACTCAAAACAGGATGTATGAATAATACAAAGCAGCTGGAAGATGCTTTTATATTTTTAAGGAAAATTAGAACTTTCAAAAACAATTGTTATGTGTACAGGTGCTTTTATTTGATTTAGATAGATTGATTCAGTCATTAAAACAGGACCTATATGCACTGCAAACAATGGAACAAATATTAGGTCAGTTCAGTGACAAAAAAAAAAAAAATGCAATGTTGTACAATACCCTGCAACACTGACACCTCAAAGAATTTCAAGAGATATCCCTCACTAAAAATGCTTGACCAATAAAATTTTCTTATTGCACTGGAATTTTAATTGCATTTCAGGACTGATTCATTAGAAAACTTTAGCTGGTCTCTACAGAAATTAACAGGGCTAGAATGGAAATAACCACAAGAAACTTACCAAAACATGCTTAGGGCAGCCGTTCAACTCAGGTAGTTGTGTAGTCAGACATGCTAACGGCCCCAAAGCACAGAGGATAGAATCCAGAAGTACTGACAAACTTCCTGAAACAGCCACCATTCCCTGGAATTAAGGAAAGAAAAATTGGATAGGGACAAATAGCGGAAATTATGGATCCTTCACAACTATATTGATTCTCATTCACATAATCTTCACTACTGAGTTCCCCTAGTCCACTTCCATTATTTACATGGCAACAAAACTATGCCAAGCACTTCACAGAGAGTCTGTTAGTTCAGAAAAAGAAAAAAAAAATCAAGAATGCAATAGGCAACATTCTGATGTAGGAACAACAGAAAATGTTAGAAAGTTGTCAGTTTTGCGTACAATTTAATTCCACAGTTTATGCCATGTAATTTCCTTTCCATTTTGTACCTTCTACTATATTAGCTAGAGGCAATAATGTTTTATTATTGAAGCCTAAAGAAATGGTAAGTCTGTAAAAATGCTTTAGTTATCAATATACTTTCAAAAAGGGAATGTGTTTGAATGCAATTCTGTGAAGGAATTGATTTTTACTCCATTTGTTCTTCTGAAGAATAACCTCAATAAGGTCGTACCACAAACAAAATGCAGTAACATCTATTTTATTGCTGTTAAAACAAAAAAGCATAGTGAGATGACCTTGTTAGCCATAAAATTCACTGATATTTGTTATTTTAACCAAATATGCGCTCTGCTTACAAGCTGGGCTGAGTTCTAAACCTCTGTGTGTGTGTGTGTGTGTGTGTGTGCAAGTATGCGGATAATTACTATCATCTAACATTAGGAAACCACTGGAAAATATGACATCTACATTAGCATGTAAGCTGAAATCATAGTAGTGGCTAACCAAAGCACTGGGAGCATAATACTACAAGACAACAACAGGCATGCTAAAACATCTTGCTAATGGCCTTCTCTGATGGTTTGTTTTTTTTTTTTTTTCCTAAAGGCTTGAGACAAAAAGAATAATCCCTCTAGTCCTATGTATGATGGCATGACATCACTGTTGGGGACAAACTCACCTCTGTTTCCTGCAGTCTATGTCCAATAAGGCTCAGAGATTCACCCAGCAACTGCAAGTGTGCAGCTACATCTATAGGCTCTGTCTCAGGGGCTTTGGCTGGTGAAGAAGGCAACACCACAGTGCTGGTGGGAGATTTCTTATGAGGGGAAATGGCTCCTGGTGGAGAAGCTGGAAACACAGGAATTAAAATTCTGTATTATCTACTTTGACTCTTTTACCTAGAAGCCTATTTACTTTCTGAAGATCAAATATCAAAGGTATTAGATGCTTAATAGTCATGGTGGACCTTTGGAGAACAGAGCCTGCCTTCACTGACGTGCAAAGCAAGTACCTCAGCTGAGTGTGATTTGATAGGTTTGGGAGATTTGGTAGACGGAGATGCCAAACCAAGAACAACCCTTTTTCATACTGCAGCAAGATATTCCCACTAGAACTTCCCTGAGTCTTGCTTCATGTTTCAAATCCTGAATTGCTAAAACCAATACCATTCTACTAACGAGACTTTTTGAAAAGTGCTGATATCGTTCTTGCTCTTGAAGAAACACTGTTGTTGAGTGATATGATGAGTTAAATGTAAAGACACTACTTTCCCCACTCCAAAATAAACCCAAGTAAAGCAAATAAAGTGTGGCAATTACCTTTTATTTTTGGAGCTCCATCTGAAGATGATGCCTTTCTCTTCACAGTGGTGGCCTCTGCTTTATTTTGCTTGTGTTGCAGATACTGAGCTTTTTGTTTCCAGATCTGCAGTTACCATGGTATAAAAACAGATTCAAAATGTTAGATAATTAGTTTACCTGATGCCAAGACCTCAGGGTAGAATAACATTACATAGCCAAGTGGTGAAGCAACACCATGAGAAGTAAATGGATGCTTTTATGAGCACACAGGCAAAATCATCAATTTTCCCACAGTTTGGGGACAGAGATAACATTTCTTTGAGGTATTGGACAATAATACCACTGTATTCTGACCTAAGCACCTAATTTACAAAAACCATTTCACAGAAACATCTCACATGAACTTACCAGTTTATCCTTGTCAGGTAGCTGCTTCCACACCTCTGCCAGCTTTTTACTAAGGTCTCCAAAATCTGTTAGAAGGAAAAATAGAAATGCTCAAAAGAGATTAAAGGATAAAATCACGGTAAGAATACAGGGAATTTATATGAATTTCAACAGTGTGAAAAACTGGCCAATGTATACACATTTAGAAAGCAATGCCTTTTACATGTGGAACATTCCACACTGTCTAAAAATGATTTCCATTGTGCATTTCCTTACTGTGAATGACACAGGGAATACAAGATCACACATGCATATGCAAAAAAGTAACATAAAGAAAACAACTTTTTAAGTAAATGAAAGGAAGAGTAGGTAATTTCTTCATCCATATTCACAGCTTGGTTAAAATACAATGAAGCAAATCATAAAATCAATTTCTGTCCTTTTTACTGTTTCAAAAAATCAGAGGTTAGTATGAAAGAGAAGGTATGTCCTGCTAATTAATTAGACCAATGTATGATCAAGAGAAGAGAACAGAAGCTACATTTTTCTCTCACCTATCCCAGGGTGCTCAGACACAATATTTGTACGATATTCCTTACAGAACACTTGATAGGCGGACATGTTTTTCTTCTTTGGCTAGACAGAAGAAAAAAGGAAATAAAGATTTTTAATTATAAAGAGACATACTCAACTTTATTAATAATTTGGCATTTATCAAAGACTTCAAGAAAGACATGGTGATTAGATAAGGAAGATAAAATACCCATGTTTTACATGTTGTGGCCAAATTTAGCAGTTTTGAAAGCAATAGGAACTGGCCAGAACCAGTGTTAATAGAAGACTTGTTCTGCAACAACTATTGATGCATTACATCCTAAGTCAAAACTTTTGCTATTCTAAATCCAGGAGCAAAAGTAACTCTGCAAACACATCTCAGTTTTAAAATTTAAAACTGAAAAAACCCCACAACTGTCACAGTACCAACATGGATCTATCAAAGCAGTTTGGTTTTTGTTCTATTTCAATGTTCATGTTTTGTTCTTTCTAAATGATTCTTCCAAATTACTTCATATTTTCAGGAAAATTGTCTGTACAAGTACACTGATAACACATGCATAAGCAGTTGTCAAGCTCTGATCAAAGAAAACTTTACACATAAAGCAGAATAGCTGAGTAAATTGGGCTATGTCTGCCCATTTGCTGACACAAAGCAACACTTGTCTATGTGAATGTACAAAAATTTCTTTTCCCTATCTATCTCTATATATACATTGAAAATTATTCTGACTGGAAATCTTAGACATACTCCAATAAATGGATAAATAACATCAGTATTCGAGCTTACAACTCAGTTCCTTCCTACACGAACTGTCATGATGGACTACATGACAGTCAGAACAGCCCAGAGTTCTACTGGTAATAGCTATAACCAGCTACCTTAGCAAATGATGCAGTGGTGGCATAATCTGTACCAAGTATATAAAATATAACATTTTCAAAGGAGCTATATTGGCTAAAGACTGCCTATATCACAAAACAAAGAAACAACAATTAATATTCCTTCTGCTAAAAACCTGGAACACAGTAGTGGAAACATTTCCACCAAACATGCTGCGATATCAATACTGACATTACTTAATCTTCAATTTAACATGTCTTTGTAACATTGTGTAATTCAATGGTACCCAACACCCAATTTCTAGTTCCCCTAATTTTTCCTTACTTTTTCTCTTTCTCTGTCCCTTTCTTTTTCTCTTTCCTTTTCTTTTTCTCTTTCTCTTTCCTTTTCTTTTTCTTTTTCTCTTTCTTTTTCCTTTTCTTTTTCTCTTTCCTTTTCTTTTTCTTTTTCTTTTTCTCTTTCTCTTTCCTTTTCTTTTTCTTTTTCCTTTTCTTTTTCTTTTTCTCTTTCCTTTTCTTTTTCTCTTTCTCTTTCCTTTTCTCTATCCTTCTCCTTTTCTCTTTCCTTCTCCTTTTCTCTTTCCTTTTCTTTTTCCCACTTCTCACTTCTTTCCTTCTCCTTTTCTTCCTTTTTCCTTCTCTTCTCATTTTGTCCATCTGAGTGAAAAACAGTAGGATGAGGTGGAGGAAGAACATAGGGAGCGCTGGGAGGAGGAGGTGGTGATAATGTTATTTCTGTTACTGCCACAGAAGAGTGCCCTGAACTCTTTTTAGACTTAGAGTGCTTCTTCTCTCTGTGCCTCTCCTTGTCTTTCTTTTTCTTACTTTTTTTTGACTTCTTTTTCTTCTTGATTTCCCGGTAGGAGTCATCTATCACTAGCTCACCAGCCTCCAATTCCCCACCAGAAGAGGATCCCGATTCTGGCTGTGCCTCCATACCTGAAATCTCATACTCACTCCCATGGCCTTCTGAAAAAACAGATGTGTCAGTACCAAAAGTCTCAGAAGGGGGATGTGAGTCTGGAGGTTTGTGCTTCTTCCGAGATGACTTCAGGAAGCTATGCAGTTCATGACCCAGATGAAATGACCCTTGCTCATCTCGAGACGATTTCTTTGAGGATTTTTTTGAGAAAGAATCATCATCTGCCACACTGCTTTTCTCTTTTGGTGAAAGGATAAGTTTCATCTTCAAGCCATCAGGCTCACGAAGAGTAAGTGTCTCTGTGTTCACGTAAAGAGGTTTCATTTTTTTAGTTTTGTGGAAGCTGCCATCGTCCACTGAGTGCTCTGCACTGCTCCCACTCATCTTCTTCTTGTGGTGCTCCTTTCTGCTTTCAGAATGTCCAGAGGAAGAATAAGACGATTTTTCAGAGGTCTTCTTTGAAGACTTAGAGCTTGTGGACAAAGGTGTGGCAATAGCCTTGAGTAGATCCATGTTTTTGTCAGTGGAGGATGGGCTAGAAACTGCTTTTTTCTTCTTCTTTGATGGTAGATCCAAAGATGAAAGACCTGAAAAAGGTCAAGAGAGCTGCTCATCAAGACAATTCTCTGAAAGATAGCATTACACAAACCAAAAGTGAAATGGGAATCCTGCAGTACTTATTATTAAAGCTAAGTGATTTTCATCTTGGCTGAAGGAGGTCTCTGAAACTTGCAGTCAACTCAGTGTGTCCTTACAGAAAACAATTCAGGAGCTGTAACATCAGAGCTGTCAATCTACTTAATGAAGAAAGACAGAACAGGAAAGTTCTTGCATTTCATCAAAGTTTGTATTCTAACACAAACCAGCATATTTTGATAAAAATGTATCTTACTAAGCCTGAAATATTACAAGCTTATAACGTCACTTTTAGCCCTGGAGGGACCAATGAACTGAAAGCATAAGCTTTTTCATTCTGAAAACAGATTTTTTACTAATTTCAGCTTGCAAAAATATTCCAAAGACTTGGCTTTCTTTTCACATTGGAACAAAAATAAATCTTAAGCCTGTTAAGCTTTTATGAACAGGATTGTCATTTTTCTGGGCAGCTTTTTCATTGTGAGAATAATGCTTCTGTATACAATCTGAAACCAAAAGCAATCATACTGTATTCTGACACATCCTATTTTTATAAATTCAGATAAATTAATTAGTACTATCTGCAAGTAAGACTACAGCTTGTAATGCAATACGGAAAAAAAGAATGCAAATGCCAAAAAGGAAGGCATGAATTAGGAAACTACAACTTGTCGGTGAAAACATGAGTAGAAGATCTCTGCTTCAACAACAGCAACTTGTTAAGTAAACTCTGAAAACATCATTTACTGATCTTTTGCAGTTTGGTGCAGCAGAAACCCAATCAGTCAGGTGTCTGACTACTTGGCGTAAGACCAGTTGGTGTACTTTTCCCCCTGATAAAGTGCTAACCACAAAGTTTGATGCCATTAGTTTAACAGCATCCTTTCCTCCAAGTTCATTATCCGCTTCCCCTGTCTGATTGCTGCCTTACCCCTGGAGCAGAACTCATCGGAGGAATGTTTCCTCTTCTTTTTGTGATGTTCTGTCCCCGAAAAGAGCTCACTGTCCTAGAATAATAATAATAATAAAAAAAAAAGCTGACAAACAAGATGGAAATAATATGAGATTCACGTGGACTGCTGACAGATAATAATTTGTGGAAGGTATCAAGAGATACTAATACTACTATAATGCCAAGTAAGCCTATGTATGAATCAGTATTCTTATTCTAGGTGCTAAATCAGCAAAGAAAATATAGCATGTCACCAAGAACTCATAGTGTAGGTTTAAGGTAGAAGGCAAAAAGCATGGTACAGATATATGAGGGAACAAAAAAATGCAGTTTTAGAATAGGCTTCAGCATACCAGATAACTAAGAGAAATCAAGCTTTCTTTGGAAACTGCAGTACAATAGGACCATAAGGAAACTGAAATACAAATCTCTAGAGGGATCCCTCCTCCAGTGAAAGAATCAATACACAGGAATACGTGAAAAAGTACATTTGAGAAGAAACAGACAATGAAAGACAGCACTTGGACATCAGCTGATGAGTTGGTAAAAGAGATCCACTTCTTAATCAAGCTGAGAAATAACTAAGTGTGCACAGGTTGTCAAGCCTTAAAAATGAAAGTGAGCAGCGCATATTTAATATAGTGAAGAAGATAAAAGAAGTGAAAGAAGGCACACAGAGGTGACAATCAAAATGATGGGCCAGAAAATGGACTTAGTAGCTCATGTAAGCCAATTATAATCTCTTGACCAATTTCCGGTCTGAAAATGAAGCTCCTCTATAGAATTTCAAATATGTGGCAGAAGAATTTCATTTTTTAACTGGAACTTCTTTTCCAGAATTGAAAATTTTAAAAACAATTGCAAGTAGTCACCTTTGAATTAACAGCGGAATCTTCAGCTCAAAGAGGAAAGTTTTAAAGAAACTTAAGCTGCTGCTGCATGATTTCGGAGCTAAGGCCTCAGGGAAACAGTTAGGGCTAATTTATACCTCTCAAGAGCTATCATTTCAGGCTGCCCACAACAGCACATGAGTTCACATTTTATTCATACTTTGCTGCCTTCTTATGCAACTATAGATTCTAAAAATATTACTTTTTGTGTAAAAAGTCATTCAGACTATTTCAGTATTTGCAGGGCTGTACATCAAGTCTAGGAAAAGATACTACTGCCCTATTTTCCGAGGCAAAGAAATCAGAATCAGTTTTAACTGGGACTGACCCCCTCCATTTACCCAGCAAAGCTACGGAACAATTCAGGACACAATTAACAGCTCTTTCTTCTACAGGAATTTTTCTATACAAAAGGACTTTTAAGCAAGCCATCTTGTCTCAAGCTTTTTACACTTTCTTACACCTTCAAAGTTTTCTCGGCAGGCTTTCTGACCTGAGCTGCTATCCTCTCCTCCTCTTGCACGAGATCCTTGTAATATCGCTTTTTCTCTCGATGTGCTCTGATGTCATCAGCACTTCGGTCACTCTCTAGGAATTCTAAGATGAATGTGAAACAAGAAAAGAAAGAAAAATGAGATGCCATGTCAAGAGATAACAGACACATGGACTACATACAAAATAAGACAGCACTGAACACTGGCACAGAACGATGCACAAAACCCAGCAAGCACTAGAGACTAAGAGATAATATTCTGTACTTTCTGACACGGGACAGGGTTCAGTGCTCTAATACTATAACACAGGTTCTCAAGATTTCATTTCTAATCCTTTTAGATTTCTTTCTGAAGATAACTGAACTTAAAAATGTTGCCATGACTAACCATACCCCTGGCCTCCCGTTTCATTGACCTGGCTGGGAGGAGAAAGGCTGCAGTGGCAGAGTTCCCAACTGTGGTATTTGCTCTATGAAATACCACCTGTTTCTCTAATCCCATTACTTTCCATCCGGAAGTCAAGGGCTTGGGATCCTGCAGAAACTAGTCCAGATGAAACTGAAAGGTTAATACCCTTCAATGCTCCATAGGAGACTAACTTCCTTTCCCACTCTCTGACTCCGTGACCTGGCAAGGGCTGCAGAGGGTACCCTTTTTCTTGGCTACTCCCTCTGAGATTATGAAGCAGTCATACCTTCTTTCTTCTTGGAGTCATCATAAGCCATGGTGGTCCTGCAGGAGCCTGAGAATATGTTGCCACGTCTGGGCTCCTTCCCCTGTTCCCATCTACAGGAAAAGTTCTGAGAAACAGAGAATGAAAATAACCCTCCAATAAGGAAGAATCATGATGTAAAATGGGAAACAACGCCTGAACAAAATGAAGATTCTCTGGAAGACAGTGGGAAAGGAAATCATCCTTCAAGTGTGACGGAATTTTTTTAAATTAAGCTGGAGATTTTTTGTTGTTTGTTATTTTAAAAATGTAACAAGACCACTTCTTCCTTGTAAAATCTCCATGTCACTTATATAATTTATCCACAGGAATGGAAAGAGGGGAGAATGTAGCTGTTTGATTTTTGTCACAAATGAAATTGTACCTGAACTTGTATTAAAGACATGTTTTGTCAGAAACCACTGTAGCAAAGAGTGAGATAGTTAAAGAGAAATAATGAATTCTTGAATTTCAGATGAAGCAAAGGAAAAGACAAAAACAGGCACTGTGCTTTATAAGGATTTTTTCAAATCTTTTGAGCTTAAGGGTTGCATATTTTGTAGTGAAGGTGTACATCTTGCTGATGAGTTTCCTGACACTACCACTGCAGCCATTCTGAATGTCAGCCTGGGAAAGGAAACAGAGGAAAGTGCTCCTTTTTACTAGGACTTCTGCAGCACCCTTCCCCATGGCAGCTTCCAAATTTCAGGTCTCTTCTGAGTTATTCCATTCTACAGCTGCTAGCATACAGAAGGACAGCACCACTATGCAATAGCTGCACTTGGTTCTCTAAGGAAACTGATTTTGTTTTTCAAAAGTAAGGTAAGCAAATGGCTTAACATGAAAAGATGACCTCTCCTCATAAGAGATTAAACCAATTGCACTTAAATGATTTTTTATTGCTGTTTGTGTGTGAATGCTCAGCCACAAAGATGATGCAGTTTGCCCTTTGTAGCTGTCACAGGCATGGAGCCACATTTAAGTTACTTTGAGATCAGGGAACTTGCACTACATCTCTGTGTATACATTAACTTAATAAACAAATGGCTGATAATGTACAAAGTATTCATCTGATTGTGGTTACTTATGCAAAAGAACAAAGTTGCAACTAATTCAAGCTAAGGGATACACAAATGTTTCCGTTGAAGTTTGTGAGAATTCAAGAGAGCACAAGTTCTGGGAAACCACCCAACTCAAGATGTTTCCAGTCAGCATTCTGACCACCAGACATTGTTGCTAGTAAACACTGCAATTTGTAGGCAGAATTTATGCATGCACCCAGCAGCTTCACAAGCATCTTGCCACTATGAGAGCTGACATGAAGGAGATCTTGAAAACACCTCTTGAAGCTCAGCTCTTTGTAATCTGCTGGACTTCAGCAGGAGCACACACAATACTGAAGCACTGTGCTCAGGGCCTACTCTAAATATTGAGGGTGTTCAGGTCCTGGAACAGGCTCCTCAGGGCAATGGTCATGGACTCAAGCTGCCTGAGTTCAAGGAGTGTTCACACAGTGCTCTAGACAGAGGGTCTGATTTTGGGTGGTCCAGTATGGAGCCAGAAGTTGGACTCAATGATCCCTGTGGGTCCTTTCCAGCTTGGGATGTTCAGTGATAAATACTGCTCAGCAAAACAAAGCTGATGACAGTCATTCATGAAGAGATGACTTGGAGAATATGTGGGCAACACTCTCAGACACAGAGTTTGAGTTTTGCGTGGTCCAGTGTGGAGCCAGGGGATGGACTCGATGGTCCTTATGGATCTCTCTGTAACACTATGATAGCTGTGGACACAGCTTCCACTCTCTTTTTGAAACTTAGGCAAGCAGCCTGTCAGATATATTTGCTGGTAGATAACACCCAAAGGAACTCACGACCCAGACCCTGCACATACAGAACATAGCCTGAACTTGTCTTGCACTACAACTCCCATTCGGTTCCACTGCTCCAGCACTGAGGAAGCACTGGGAGCAGCGCTCTCCCCACGCCCCAGTTCCCTCACACCCACGGCTGCGGGACCGAGGCCCTGCGTGCTCCCCCGGGGGGCTGAAGCGTTTCTGTCCCCCCCGGGGAAGACCGGCTCCCTCGCCTCACTTCCCGCCACTGCTCCCAGAGCCTGACGCGAGCCCAGACCCGCCGACGCTCCACACCCCGGGCTCAGGCACGAGCCCCGGCCCCGCCGCCGCCGTTTAAAGCGGGCTCAGCCGCCCCGCTCGCTCCCGCCCGCCCGCTCGCTCGCTCGTTCTCTCACCCGAGCGGGCCTCGGCCTCACTCCAGCCCGCGGCTCCGCCCCTGCAGCAGGCCTGGGCGTGCCCCCGTGGCGGCGAGCGCTGTCGGCCTGCGGTGCCGAACGGAGGGAGGGGAAGGTAGGAGGCGCGCGGCCGCCTCACTCCGCGCCGCCGCTTCGCGCCGCGCTGCCGCCCGCCACCGCCATCTTGGAGAAGGAGACAAGGGACTGCCGCCCGGCGCCAGGGGCGGCCAGCCGAGCGCCGAGCGCCTCCAACGGGGAGTGGGGGCGGGGCAGGAGGCGGTGAGCGGAGTGCCGAGCGCATCGATGGGCGGGTTGGCGGGGAGAGTGGTGCTCCTAAGCCTAAGGCGGAACACGGAGTCATACGGGTTACAAAAGAAATCTAAGATCTGAGGTTCAACTACCACTCCACCCCACCATGCCCACTGACCATGCCCTCAGTGCCACATCCACGCGGTTCTGGAACACCTCCAGGGACGGTGATTCCACCACCTCCCTGGGCAGCCTGTGCCAATGCAGCACTGCTCTTCCCGAGAAGTTTCTCCTAATATCCACCCCGAACCTGTCCTGCAGCATCATGACACAACTTCCCCGCTCACCATGGCTTTTTAAGAGACAAGGCCTAGAGGTGGCTCTGTGCGCAGGGTAGGTTGGTTTTGGGGCTGGTTATGCTTACTGCAGTGGATCTATAGGAAAGGGTGAAATCCTGTTACTAAGCAGTTACAGAGGCAGCACTTGTGTGCGATTAGTCAGGCACTGACTGCTCTGATTGCTCAGAAGGTCCCTGTTCAACAAACCTCAGCTGACTCTTAGCTTAAATCCTATCATCTCTACTGATGCGGAGCTCTTCCTTTTGTTTAGATGCCCGCAGATACTCACATGACTGTGGAAGACCACTGTCAGCCACATGCTGCCTGCAGACCACAGTTCCCTGCTATACCTGAAGGTAAACCTGTCCCATCACAGATATGCTGCTTCCCCGGTACTTACACATCTGCTTTCTGGTCTTGCTGATGGTTTTGTTGCCTAAGAAATACAGAACACAATTTATGCATTACAGTAGGGCTTAGAGGAATTAAAAAGGGAAAAGGACCTATGTCTGTTACACTGCATGAACATATAGTGTGGTCCGTATTACAGATGTTAATAAAGTTGCTCAACCACAATGCACAGATCCACCAGCTCTTAGGATAAGCACAAGAGCTGTGCAGAGGTTGCCGTGCATGTCTGCTGTAGACAAAACTCTCTAAAAGTGCTCCTCACTCTCCAACCCAGTAGAAAAGTGCCTTTGCAGATTTATGGCCAGAACCTCACCAGAGCTGAACTCACCATGCCATGCTCTTTGCCACCTTGCTGGTGCTACAGACTTCATAGAAGCAGCAGGCAATGCCTGGAAGCACTTGGACACGTCAGCCTAGAGGAAACAGCAGCAAGTCAGAATAAGACATTAGCATGGCTGGGAGAGGCTAGGTGCAGCCTAAAGGAACAGAGATTGCTTTGAAAATCAAACACCTAAATTACCCTGGTATTTGATGATGACAAGTATTTGATAATGATAGCTAGTAAATGTGCAGGGAAGGTATGTTTAATAACCTGCACCATAAAATGAGAAAGGATTCAAGCTCCCCTACAGCTTAATGTTTTCAGCACTGGATGGTTCAGAGGTATTAGAATGTGACGGTGATTGCTTGTGGAGGAGAGAGAATGAATTTGCAGATGAATTTGCAAAAATAAGCATATAGCAGGATACTTGCACATAAAGCTACTGAAGCACCAATCATTCAGATTTCCCTTGGTGAGACTTATGTGCCTTTCCTTCCACAAAAAATAATAATAGTAGGAGTAGTAGTAATTGTAATAGTAATAGTAATAACAACAATAACAACATGTAGTCCTTCCTACTGCACTTCTCATCAGAGCAGAAATGTACAGAAAAGCTCATTTCAATCATTCCCATTTTTCTGAGCTAACACAAAGAACCAACCAACACAAACCACTAGCACTTACTCACTGCTTTTAAACAATTCAGTCTTTCCCTGTACTAGAAAATCTAGAGATCCTTTCAGAGTGTACACCTGGACTATACAGGTCAGGTGGGGAAATGTAGGATGCCGACAGCAAATTCAAGAGTGGCAACTGCTTCAAATCCTTCACACTCAAAAGAATTTCTTTCTTTCTTTCCTTCTTTTTTTCCCTCCTTTCTTTCCTTCCTTCCTTCCTTCCTTCCTTCCTTCCTTCCTTCCTTCCTTCCTTCCTTCCTTCCTTCCTTCCTTCCTCCCTTCCTCCCTTCCTCCCTTCCTTCCTTCCTTCCTTCCTTCTTTCTTTCTTTCTTTCTTTCTTTCTTTCTTTCTTTCTTTCTTTCTTTCTTTCTTTCTTTCTTTCTTTCTCCTTGAATTGAAAAGGTTGTAGTGAGGGAATCAGAAAAGCAGAGAGTCTCCATAGTTTTTAAGATCTGATGTGCAGCATTAGCCAATCTCAGAGTATTTTGAGAATATTCCTTATTGATTTTACTCAGAGCATCTTGCGTTCTTTTGCCTACATTCCAGGGAGACAAACTGCTAAAAGAGTACAGTGTGTTCCCTCAGGTGTCCCCTTGGCAATGAGATGCATATTGTATGAAGAACTCTTGCCAATACAGAGCATTTTGGGATGTGCATGTACTTCCTTATACTTGATGTGAGATTAGTTCTGTGTTAGGAGTTACTGCCCATTAAGCCACACTACTGAGTGGTCATGCTTTTCCCACATTATATCCACCATCTGTTCCTGTCTGTCTGCTGCCTATACTGAGGTGCAAGTTTCCAGATTCAATAGCCCTCTTTTTTTTTGGTGTTTTTTTAGTACTTAGCCCAGTGACTCTCAAGTGCAATGAATATAAAAGGAGTGAACAATAAAATGAGCACAAACCCACAGCCACATTATGTACAAAATTAAATGCAGCTTTCAGAGCTGTATGAACAATTATCAGTTCTTCATCATAGTTTGAAACTCCAAAACCTTTTTTTCAGTCCTGTCCCATTTTTCTGTAATTGTTTCCTAGATTCCAAGATGATTTGACATTGTCTGGAATGAGACCTGGATCAAAACCCTGATATCTGCCTTTCCATGAAAAGTCCGTTTTGCTTTGCACAGGCATTCTACTCTCTGCACATTACAACACCTGTATGTCACCAGCTATCAAACTGCCCTCTGAGAAATAAATGCATTTTAGAAGGTTATGGAAATTCTTATGGATGAAGTGACTAGAATGTTACAGTGGACTTCAGGTAAAATAAACACTGGGTGGCAATTACCTCAGCTGTATAATTTCCTTAGTCTGATATATAAAGAAGGCAATCGAGCACTGTTTGAGCATAGACTTGCTTCTCTAGAGAAAATTCAGAAGATTTGTCATCTGCGTTGTTTCAGTATTGGGGATTGACTTAAATTACTTCCCATTTATTTCCAGTTTCTGCAGGAAGCATTCATTTCCTTACTTCTTCAGCTGGGAATATAGTCATTAACAAAACAACAAGGGTGTGTGCAGTCATTTGTAACATCAGTACCACAGCCTGAATATCCCCTAGAGCCACAGCATCTGTCACAATGGACACTCACCTTCTCCTGCTGCTCCTTTTCACATGCTGAGGGAGATGGAAAGGCAACATCCTCCTCCATCTGGTGGGGAAACAAACTATGCATTACAGCAGGAGTAGTGGATTCCAGACAGGAAGAGTGTGCTTTGGGTTCCAGATCACATCAGTCATACTCAGATGTCTTACCAGCCATGCATTTGTGCAAACCTCAGTGACAGCAGTGCAGAAATACCTCCTAATGGCCACAGGCAACATGCTGAGGAGACCTGCATTTGATGCCTGTTGGAGGGAAAGGCAACCCTATTCTCTTCCATTAATGTTGATGGGTCATGACTATTTCTATGAAAGTAGGCTGCCTACTGATTCTGCTTCCAGCTAGAGATGTTGCATCTGCAGATGAGAATTTTTGGGAAGAGCAAAAGTCTTCACTGCACCCTGAAAAGCTACAAAGTCCTTGAGTTTTCAAGAAGAGTGTGAATGGAGCACTGAGGGACAAGGTTTAATGAGCATGGTTGGGTGGTTGGACTAGATAATCTTAGTGGTCTTTTCCAACCTTAATGATTCTATGCTTCTACAAAAGTGGCAATGGAATGTGCAGAGAGAGGCAGTCGACAGGACGGTACTGCCCACACAACTCTTGAGTTGCCAGCTGAACCAATGCAAATCTCATGGCTGTGGTGTGCCATCATCTGCAGTGCTACTGCCAAGATGTGAGTAAGGGGCAAAGTGTGGAAAGGGCTCCGGACTCCAAACGTATTTTGGCATGGGAAAGGCAATAAGAGGACACATTGATCCAGGGGCCAGGTGAATAACAACATGTTCTGTCCATCCCTGTGCATTGCAGAATGGTACATGTGTGAAGAAGAAATGTTGTTGCAAGGCATTTCATATCTTGCAGCTGTTTACATAGCAGGTAATTTGCAATGCTTTCAGGGTCACCGAATGAAATAAAATGCTCTAGGTCATCCAAGGCTGTTCTCTGCCTTGTAGGCATGCTGTCATTCAATCTCCATTGTAAACTGATCGATCTTTATCTTAAAAGCAATCATGTCTCTTCCTCCTACAACCTCCACTGAAAGGATGCTCCAGAATGTCACTTTTCTGATAGTCAGAAAATGTCTTCTGAATACCAACCAAAGTGAACTCATGGTTGGCTTGCATCCATTAGTTCCTGTGCCAATATTTTCTTTTAGCTAATACAATCACTATCCCCTGCTGCTGTTTTTACTCTGATGCGTTTATAGAGTCATCATACCTCCCCTCTGTTCTCATTTTGCTAGGCTAAACAAGGCATACTCCCCTAGTTTCCTTGTAGCTGGTAGGCTCCTCACTCCTCTCTCCAAGCTGGCAGCTTTGTGCTGGGCTTGCTCCATGTTGAATCCTCCTCTGAAGCTCGATTTGCTGAGAAGTCTCATTAAGGTCTCATGCAGTGCTTTGAATGCTTCCCTTTCTCTAGGGGAAATGCTTCCCCCTTTTTATGACAGTAGAAGATTGGTGTACTTTCTGAAAACTCTTGGGTACAACTTTCTGATCCTTTCTGTATCTCCAAACCCTATCCTCACAGGTTAATGAATTTTACAAGTTAATGAATTTTAAAAGATAATGAATTTTACAATAGTATTAACATATTAAGAGGTAAAATATGCATAAAGAGGACCACAATGAAAAGGATGGGTGTCTGGTTGCCTGTAAAGCATAATATGTTGTTAAAAGATCAGCAAGAGTCAATTTCTTTATACTTTCCACTGTAGTAAAAGGGAAATACAGCAGCAAGGAACATACATAATTTATTCCTGGTCTTTCAGGGACTTGGCTAGAGTCAGCTCAGCTCAAGGTTTACCCTATGACTACAGCACAGTTATAGTGGAGAAGGGATTGTTATTTCAGGTAGGTGGTACTGTATGGGTATCACATTGTGGGGTGAGCCACTACCATCATACCCATAGCACTGGGGTGCTGCTCATGGGGAGATGTGGAGCTGAACTTCCTCATGCTTCATTTCTCCAACATGCCCCAGTTGCTGCAGGGCTGTATGTCCTTTCTTCCTTCTTTCTCACTTTTTCTCCCTGTAATGCTGTTTCTGCTGAGGAAAAGAGAGAAAAAGTCAAGGTGCCAGACAGACATGCATCTGCATTCACTTGTAAAAAATCACACCTTTTCCTTTTTCTCTCCTGATTCATTTTCTTTGAATAATTGCAGTACTGCCTACCAGACCCCTTTTAGTGGAAAGAAATTACTCCAGTAATTTTGATTAAAAAAAAAAAAAACAGAAAAAAAATCAATCATACCTTTCACTCATATTCTTGTTTGGAGTCCAGCTTGATGTTTCTTTGTGTGTGTGAGATGAAGAAAGACTTGTGGATGCAAGGGAAGCCTTGCAACGGCATAGATTATGTTTCATATTTCGAGTCCAGTCTTTCACCACTGCCTGGTCTTTACCACTGTCTTTCCTGCCCTCTCTCCATCTCTTCTTAAACACCTCAAAAACCTCCTTGCTCAGAAATGCCTAATGAAGTCTGATGATCTGCAGACTCTGTGTGGCAGTGTGTGCCCTCTGAATCACCTCTGTATCAGAGCAAGAATTGCAACCGCTGCCATCGAACCAGACTGATGCATTAGTTTCACAAAAACAAGGTCACATATCCCACTAGTTTTACTCTTTTGTTGCACTTTTAAAATGTTTTAATAAAAAATATTAAAGTAAGCTTTGTTACATACATACATTAACTATATTATATATTTTACGAGGGTTGTTCTGAAAGTATTGCCTCTTATTGATGCTGGTCCATGATGCAGAGGCAGATGTTGGTGGGATGGCAGTAAAGGCTGAACCTTTCCACCAGTATTCCATTACATGTTGCTGTGCAACAAATGGCAGCAGAGAAGCAGTCTGACAAATTGCTGTCTGATATGGAAGTGCATATGAAGCAAAGGTGTGTCCTTGAAATCCTCCATGAAGCAAAAATGGCACCCACTGACATTCATTGACACTTGTGAACATTTATGAGGCCAAACACTGGATGTGTGCTCAGTGAAGCGATGGATGGTGAGTTTCAGATGTGCTAATAGTGACAGAGGTTCACCTCCACTGGTGCAAATTTTTATGAACTCGCAGGCTCTTGTGCATCACTGGTGAAGATGCATGGCTCATGGTGTTGGCTATGTTGAAAAATAGTGTTTTGTAGCTGAGAATTTGCTCTATCAAATAGCATTATTGTGCTTTTTGTAAAGAAATAGGAAGAACTCCTTTTGAAGTGACCTATACATATGCAGCTTAAGATGATTCCTCTGAAGTCAGTGTGGTCCAGGCAAGTCAAAAGGCTGGACACCCAAGGTATAGGTGAGTGCTAAATATGCATTTATGACTTTTTACTTCTCTGCATGAAATGGACAGCTATCTGTTTCAACCACGTCTGTCTGTAACATTACTGGATTTCTCTCTAGGTGGATACCTGTTCAAATTATCTTAAATAAATATAAAGTGTTTACTATACTGCACCAGACAGGCAGATCACAAGACTTGTTACATTCATGAATAGAACACAAGATAGAATTACATCTCTAAGAAAATGGGAGATGGTTATGCCGTTTATCACAGGGGGGATGCTTATCTTAGTCATTTGGTGTATGTGTACAAGGGTACACATGGTGGTAGAAAGATCTTGATTTGCTGAGACTTTCTGGAATCATCATGGAGAAGAAAGAGAAAAGTCATTGGCCTGAGTGTAAGTATAGTTGAACAGACACACAATGACTTTTTTTTAAATTTTGGTGAGGTTGCACTAGTGTTTGTTAATAAACTTACATCTTACTATAACACAAGCTGAAAAAAAAGTAACCTCTGGTGACTTATGGAAGAACCTGATGGTATGTACCTGTGGCATTGCAAGGTGGCAGAAGAGAACTGTTTGGGATGCTTGCAGTCTGGGCGATCACTGAGCTAATGCTTGGAAAGATGAGGAGTGCAAGGCCTGTATAAAATTAGTTTTAACTGTAATTTCCATCAAGCAGACAAATCAACTATAAATATGAGCTTAAATTTTTTGTAGAAGACAGGACTGGGCTGAAGTGTAAGTAAAAGTATGGATTAAACAATCTATGCAATGAGAACATTTGTCACATCGGAAACCAGAATTTGGTATATGCCAAGATGAATAGAAACAAAGAATCATTAAAGTTGGAATAGACCCCTGGGATCGCCAAGTCCAACCATCATCCCATCCCCACCATGCCCACTAACCATATCCCTCAATGCCAATGGAAGCTCCCTCAGCTCAGAGCCCATTACAACCATGGAACAATATGTTGAAGTTTCCTCTTTTCTTCCATTGACTGTTGTCTGGATGGAAGATGGGAGTTTTTAATATTACCTGGGGATGCTGGAGCTGTGACTGTCTAGGAAGCAATTTTGACCAGCCTCCCAGGGATCCCCAAATCCTCACAAGCTGTACTCTATACAGAAGATTAAAGCCCTCCCAAGAGGCGCTGGTCCCCTGTAAGCCACACTGGCCCATCTAGCTCACAGTTGTTTTGTTGAGAAGCCTGCAGAAGGATTTGGTGTTTCATAACTTCAGCTTCAGGTTGGGGGAGTCCAAAATAGGGAAAAAAAACCAAACCAAAACAAAAAAAAACCATTGTTCATTTCTGTGAAGGATGTAACAGTCAGTGTACATAGAGAGAGAAAGAGAAAGACCGTATCAGTGTGTATCCCTGT